AGAGAGAGAGAGAGAGAGAGAGAGAGAGAGAGAGAGAGAGAGAAAGAAAGAGAAAGAGAGAGACAGGGAGAAAGCGATATATATACATTTATTATTATGCGCACGCGTTGCGCCCCCACACTGAGAGCTAATTCGTTTCGTTTCCCCCGCATTTTCTCGATAATTGGTATATTCTAAAGGAAACGCATGGCTGCCGTTGGTCAGTGGCGGCGATGGGATAGACATTGCAATTCATCAAATTATAACTCCGCGATATATCGCGGCGTTAGTCACGATAATTACACCGCAGATTAAAGGAGAGACTATCCGCGACGTGCAGATGCAAGGTGAAAGAACCGACCGGCGCGCCGCGGCGGTGTGTGTGCATGTGTGTGTCACGTTTTCTTCTATTTTACCGGTCGCGTTCGATCGGCTTTACTTTCGATGCGCTTTGGCGGCGCGTTTTCCAACCAAAATGGAAACAATTTCGGGGCGGAATCCAACCGGTGAGTTCGTAGCTTTAACGAGCACTTTGCGGCGAAAAGCCGTTACGCGAGCCCGGTCAGGCGGCAGATTTTTCAGAATTAAATCGACGCACGGATATTACGGTCTCTTTCATCCGGGATCCCGCCGCCATTCACGCGGGATAGGACATCGTCAGCGCCTTCCGCTTTTCACCGATTTCGACAACCTGTTGAGAAACCGATTTATTGGATAGCGCGACGTATCGCTACCGGCGAGAACCGCCGCGGAATCGATAAATTTTGACTCGCGTTTGAAAATTTCCGTAATTCGATGTAGTAATTTAAACGTTCCGCATAGAGAAATCGGTTTTATCGCTCAACTGGTGTTTCTGGATTTCGTGACACGTAATATTTTAACTGACGCTCAAACACGCGTCTCCGCTCGCCATCGAATCGCAATTCGATTTATTAAAAAAAAAAAAGGAAAAATGCGCACACATCCGGAAAACTATTCCAAGCCTGCATGGGGTACATCCGAAACAATCAATAGCAATTATTTCGCCGTTTTGGGAGACTCGATATTCTCAAAATCGCTCGATTGACGCGCACCTCCTCGCGATCGTTTGCGCGGTCTCGACCGGCCGAATCTCTCCCCAGACGTCGCTTGTCATCCCCGGAGGGCCGCGAGCGACCCTCGCATTTGAGAGAGCGGAAAATCCAAGTTGCCCTTCAGCGAAGACGAGCACGGGACGCAGGTGAACGAAGGTAAACGAGCAGGGCGACGGCACGTAGGCAGAGTCGAGTCCAGGGAATAGGGTTTCTTTTTTGCAAGCGGCACCTCTCAAATTACTCGGAGATCAAAAAACAGACTCGTCGGCGGTCGAGCGAGAGGATAAAAGGGCGAAAGCGGGCGTC